GAGTTCGTCACCTTTCTCTGAAAAATTATAGGTATTTATAGACAATTGTATCTTGAGTTATGTCTTTTCATGAAGAGTTGTAACTCTCTATAATTTTTCAGAAAATAGGCTCTGGTAATCGATTACAAGACTTGGTAATCGATTACAACGGTTTAAGTTCAAAATGTTTGAAACGTTGTATAGTTCAAATTCGAATTTTGAAATTTCTCTTCTGGTGATCGATTACAGTCAGTGGTAATCGATTACCAGAGAACATTTTAACATTTTGAAAGGTTTTCTTTCTCTGGTAATCGATTACAGCAAGTGTTGGAAGATCGTCCCTACGACAAATTCCGGTAAGAACAAATCTCAAACTCCAATTCCTCAATCCTCGATCCTTAATATTGTACCTCGCTCATCAAGATTATAAGTAATGATACCAAAGTCGATGAGTAATCAAAGTATTCAATGTTGTTTGTGAAAGTCATATACCTTCTAATGATTAAATGTAGGTATAAATAGATAAGAAAACATTATTGCTAAGGATTTAATCATTTAAATATATTAAAATAATATTATTGTTGTGTAAAAGTCATACATTACTTTTTTTGCCATGATTGAGGGAAGTGTTTTGGTCAGGCTACCAAAATATTCTACCAAAAAACTTAGTCAGACCTATCCAAGTGATATCTAGATTCATGCAATGCAGTTGAGATATCCTTGTAATATTGGATCGATAATCAACATGTGTTCGCTAGAACCTATCGGATACATCACTCAATTCTAATATGTTATATTTCATATCGAAGACTTGAAAAAAATGAGTTACATATGTAAGTTAAACCTGATGGATGATGATTTATTTGAGTTGACTATAAATCATAAAGTATAACCAAGACAATTTCAAGAAGCAATGCTTCTACCTATATTAATCACCACTGGAGATTTTAAAAATCATACTTGAACAATGCCGAAAATCTCTGTTGTTACTCGTTTGTCTGAACTCTGCACACAGCCAGCCTGGCTTTTGTCCAAGTCATATCTCACAAATGGACGCATCATACACTCAGTCGTCTCAAACGCGCCCCTATCATCACGGTGTAGATTCACGCCACGTGGCATACTTCTAAATGAGCCTTGATTCAAACTATACCCCACCATCTCTCGACGCAACACCCCAACCTGCGGCTCCGCTAATCTCGGGTTTGCCCGCATTATGATCTAAAAATATTTATCGTATTTTTCTTCTATCACATTATATCAATTACTATTATGTTATCAATTTACGTTCATCGAATTCCCCGTGCAGATATTAGCAAGAACATTTCTTTACGTGATTAACATCAAGAAACAAAACATAAAGCAACTATATGACTTTAAAATCATCATTCCCACTGCCCCCCACTGCCCATGTGACATATACCAGCAGTCATACATAACACAACACACTCCCATGCGCCAAATTTTTGGTACCATAGTGTTATTATTCATGTTACATGCACCCTTTAATTTGAAGAAAAATATTTGGCAGGTTTCTTTTTGAAGGCAGATGTCTAATGATAAGAGAGAAAAGTAATAATATAGTGTAACACTATTTAGACATTTGCTTGATTATAAATGTAATTTTATTTTGTAATAAAACAAAAATCATCTAAACAAGCGGTGGATACACAGTTTTCCAAATTTGTGACAGACTATTCAGCTATTGCAGACTTTGATATAGGAGAATGTGACAAGTGTATCAAAACAATTAGAAAGGTTTATTTTGGACAGAAATATAGTAAAGAAAAGACTACAATTAACAATTGAAAAAATGCCAACTGAAATTCATGAAATGGTCAAACACCTCAACCCCCCTTACAGTTCTATTAATGAACAATTCAAACTCACCCAGCTACAAGAATAATTGAAATTAATAAAATAAAAAATCATTAAAATACAAGAAAAACTAAAAAAGAAAGAAAGAAAAAAGATACATTTAAATGGACCCACTCCCCCCGTGGAGCCCAATCACCCTGTGCAGCATAAATAACAACTCATTTATTTACTTAACTTTGCACATTTTCATGACCCACTGTCGTCGTTTCCCCTTTTACTTTTTCCACTTCCAAAGACTTTTTCTTTTTCTGATCTTTCGCTTTATATGATTACAGCCGCTTTACAACCCGACTACGATGTGTCCGACCTAGGGGTAGTCCGGGAGTCCTGAGGCGGCGTCTGACCGTCCGATCCTTTGGAAGGATCATCAGACGACTGGCGAAGCCCTTCGTCGGTGGTCTCGCCGCGGCTAACAATATCCCCAATCATGCGAACCACCTCATCCATGTTGGGCCTCTGGTCGGGCACAAGCGCAACGCAGGACATGGCAATCTGCAACAACTGAACCATCTCCTCTTCGATGTTCTGGTACCTCATGAGTTCCGCGTCGAACACTTCCGCGGTCCACTCTTCGCGCACCACTGACTGCACCCAACGTGGAAGGTCGATCCCTTTCTCGCTCAGCGAGGCTTGGTTCGGCGCCTTGCCCGTTAGGAGCTCCAGCACCAGCACGCCGAAGCTGTACACGTCGGATTTCAATGTCACCTTTCGGGTTTCCAGAACCTCCGGGGCCCGGTAACCCGCCACCCGGTTCGAGGGAACCGGGTTCGCGAATATCGGGTTCAGTCCGAAGTCCGAAACGCAGGGTTCGTGGTTCGGGTGGAGGAGGATGTTGGAGGATTTGATGTTGCCGTGGACCAGTTTGGCTGACACGTGGAGGAACGCCAGGCCTCGTGCGGCTCCCAATGCTATTCTCATTCGCGTGTCCCAATCTAGCGGCGTTCGCCCTGACCCTCTGCTCCCTGTTGTTAAAACGTTAATAGAGTTATTGCATTACGTGTTCGCATTTGGCTCATTCATATGGGCACATCCAATCAAAACATGTGTGCCAGCAGAGAAAACACAGTGACAAAACTCGAGGAATCCTACATCGTCTCATGCTACATAAAACAACATTTTGCAAATAAAAAATACTGTGTCACGAATCCTCATACTAACCGAAAGAGAGCTGTAATGTGTAACCTTAATGTTGTCGTCTTCTTTATTAATTACAGTGAATTTAGAAATATTTTCGTTTGCGTCTTCTTCAAAATTAAAGTGAAAAAGGAAAAAGGCAAGAAATAATACCCGTGAGACCAGACCACGCTACCACTGTGCCTATGTTATGAGTGCACGTTGCGTATGTTGAGCAGAATGAAAATAAAGTGAGTGTTATTTAAGAAAGACAGAGAAGTTGAGAGTTTGATCATGTTTGCTCCCTCCAGACGCATACATGATTAAGGAGAGCGTGTTAAAACAATTTGAGGCTTAATAAAATATGACTTATTGTAAAATAATTTTAGCATCTGAAGATGAGTAAATTTTCTTATAATTTGGTTAATGTAAAAATAATTTTTCTTTGACTCTTATTCCTATAAAGTCTAAAATTATTATTTTTCATCCTTACAATAATTTTAAGATATATAAATATTATTTATTTTAAGAACCTGTGAGACATTTTAAGGTATATATATCACTAACTATTACAAGTAACATCAAAGATAACTACAGAACCATTTAATGAATAAACAAATAATGCAAAATGATTACATAATAATTAATAAATATTAAAAACAATAATTTTAAGTTTTAGAGGGATGAAAAAAATATAAAAATAAAAATATATTTAAGTCTGAAATAATATAAAGAGTAACAATAAAAAATATGAATTAATGATATTAAAAAAATATAAAAATGATTAAAAAAAACCTAAAAATATATAGAATTACACACATGGAATTTTTCACCGGAACAAATTTAAATTATTCACTTTAATAATTACTTAAATTTTTAAATAAATATAAAAATGATGAAAAAGAGAAGGTTAAGAAAAGAATAAAATAATTTAAAAATTTTGAGGTCAATTATTTATAAAGTTTATATAAAAATTAAGTTAATAACAGTTATTTATTTATTCTTTATATCTACTAAATAACATAACATTTAAAAATTAACATTATTCTAAATTAATTATCAGTAAAAAGTTTAACATCTTCAAATGTTAATGTTTTTTAATTAAAATTAAAAAAAAATATCTCTCAATTAAAAATATTAAATCATAAATATGTAATTTTTTTTATAGAAATCGTAAACATATAATTTATTATGCAACCTAAGCCAAGTACTTAGCTGTGCTTAAGAAAACTTGCTACCTACGATATCATCCTATCTCTAATATATATCTCTCTCCATTAAAAAATCACCCTGAATCAAAGCTGTGTTGAATAATTTAGCATGAACAACATGATGCATGCCACCAATAATACATATGGGATACCCACATTACCCACCATCGTTGACAGCGTAACATACGCCACTACCACACTATAATTAATATGTTCCAAACATTCCAATTTCGAACCTATGAAAGCTGGAGCATGAATTTAGTCCAAACCCCACTAAAAAAAAATACATTTTTACAATTTATTTATATCGACAAATATATAATAGAATAAAAGTATCATACAAAATTGTTAAAAATAGGTTACGACCGAGGAGGCATAATGAAATTAAAAAATAAATAAAAGGTAAAGAAAGAAATTAAGGAAGAAGTACCGTGAAGCAGTGCAGACAAGCTACCGGCGGTCATGTAATCGTGAACAAGCAATTTCTCATCCTTGGAGAAGTAAAACGCTCTTAGAGGAATCACATTCTCGTGCTTAACCTTCCCAACAACCTCCATTTGCGTCTCGAATTCCCTCTTCGTAACCGCCACATCCTTCAACCTCTTCACCACCACCGTCGTCCCATCCTCCAAAATCGCCTTGTAAGAAGTCCCCATACTCCCCTTCCCCAAAACCTCCGCAGAAGCCCTCAACAAATCCTCCAACCCAAACCCATACACCCCACCCTCCAAAAACACCAGCTTGTTCCTCTCCGCCGCCTCCACCGACCCCGTCATATCATCCTTCGAAGACGACGTTCCGCCTTCGCCGCCGCCGCCGCGCCGCGCCGACACCACGCCCTGCGGCGGCTTCGTCCGCCGCCTCCGCCGGCAGCACACAAACAGAACAAGCAGCAGTAAGAGAAGTACGAGGAGAGACCCCCCGACCGCGATTCCCACAATGGCGGCAGTGGAGAGCTTTTTGGAGTTCTTGGCGACCGGCGCAGCCGGTGGAACAAAAGGCGAAGGAGTCGGTCCCGGGAAGAAAGGGGTGCAAGGCGGTAACGGTTTCCCGCAGAGGTCGTTGTTTCCCGAAAACGACGTCGCTGGGAAACGGGAGAGGGCATTGGGGATGGAGCCGTTGAGGCGGTTATTGGAAACATCGAAGTTGACTAATTTTGTTGTAATGCTTGGAAGGTTACCTGAGAAAGAGTTGTTTTCTAAGAAGAGGCCGGTTAAGTGAGTGAGATTGTTGAGCGAGAACGGGATTTGGCCCGTGAAGTTGTTGTTGGAGAGTTCGAGGCGAGTCAAGCGAGTGAGGCGAGTTAACACGGCGGGGAACTCGCCGGAGAGGTTGTTGTTTTGGAGGTAGAGGTTGCGGAGGAAGGCCAGGTTGGAGAAATCGGCGGGGATCTGGCCGCTGAGGGCGTTGTGGCGGAGGCTGAGGACTCGAAGCTGCGTGAGCCGACCGAGCGTGTTGGGCTGGATTGGGCCCACGAGGCCCACCGCGGGGAGGTGGAGGGAGCGGACGAAGGAGCGAGAGGGGTCGCATTGGACGCCGAACCAGTCGCAGGCCGAACCGGAGGTGTTCCACTGAACCCGGTTCGCGTGCGGCGTGAGGGAGAGGAACGCGAGGAGGGCTTGCCTGTCCTGAGTGGGCTCCGCGTTGACTCGCTCACTCGGGTGCAGGAGGAGAGCGGCGAAGATGATGAGGACGACATGCGTCGCGCGCAGGACGGTGAGCAATGCCATGTGGAAACGACGGGAAGAGAGTTGTCGTTTGGAGGTGGTTTGCGTTTGCTGTGGAATGCGATTTGTGACGATGTGCCATGCAGGAGAGTGGGAAGAGTGAGAGTGAGAGAGGTTTTGTAGGTGGAACGAGAAAGACGGAGAGTGTGCGAGACTGGAGAAATTATTAATTATTAATTATTAATTATAAATTAAGTAAAATAACAACGCCTGCTTCAAAACTTGTACAAAATATAATTAAATTTAAACGCCTGCTTTAAAACAAAAAATAAAAGACAGAAGATTTTTCAACGTTTTAAGCCTTGTATATGTCAGAGAGAAAAAAAAAAAAACCGTTCATAACTGATAAACCTTCATCACGTAACTCACGCTGCTTCTTATTATGTTGTTTAAATTTATTTTTTATTTATAGTATTTTAAATTTTAAATTTATATTTTAATAACGTAAATTAAATTTAAATTTATTTTAATCATTGATGAATGTTGAATGAAATTTAATTATCATTAAATTTGTCATATAAAATTATTTATTAATATTTTTGTCTCCTAATAAAAATAAGATATTAAATTCAATTTATATAATCCATTCGATTCATTGCTGTCGATTTTGAAGGACTAATTTTTCTTAACAAAAAATTACAACACTTAAAATATTAATTTCAAATTTTAGAAAATCAAAAATAAAATCACCCCAAATTTAAATGACGAAAAACATACTTAAACTTATTAATAAACTTAGAAAAATTTAATCAATTATCCATTATTATAAAGTTTCTATATATTATTGTTATATATGTATACAACAATAAAAATCCAATAACTCAACTCGTACTGGCCAACCATTTTGGGACACTATGACTATGTGGGGCTCATAATATACTTGTGAAAATTTATTTATTGAGAAGTTTGTCTTTTTTTAAACGCTTCTCCACTTTAGGATAAATATAAAATCATATTCATACTACAAGTTTCAATTGCTACTATAAAAATTGAGTCCAAGGATAAGAGAAAATCAACTTTAATGTTACTTTTAACTTGATTGTTGATCTTTGTTCAAGATATCAAATTATAGAGGCTTCTTCATGGTTAATTATATGTTACTCTTGTGATTGAACTCGTTGATGGGAACATGTTAAATATTTAAATACAATAACAATCTACAATTATGCATTATTCCTTTGTAGGGTGTCAAATACATGGATCAATTGATATCATTGTGATTAAGGTTGGAAATGAGTTCAGTTGAGATGAGATTGGTTCATCTCGACTCGACTTGATAATATTTAGTTTAGCTTGAGACTCGACTCGAGTTCGTCATAAACATTGTTTTTCAGCTAAAACTCGACTTGATTCGGATTTGTGAACAGTTCAATCCAACTTATTAGCTTGAATGACAATGAATGGTACTACATTGACTACCGATGACTAGTCCAAAGTGAATTGTTTCAAAACAACCCCACTCCAATAAATAGTTTTAAAAGTGTACCAAAATGGTCAATGAGCCATCAACTCTTATTCAAAAGCATTCAAATTATTTATAGCAAATGAAGTATTCAATATCTCATAGTCTAATGCAATATGCATGTGAAACCATTTAAAATATATGTTGCCCAAAGGCTCATAGGATAGCCTAAGTGTATGTGTTAGCATATAGACAACTAACCTACGATGTATGCATCTGTACTATCCGTACCGTGAAGCCGAGCTCCAGCTCAGCTTCACAGCGCAGAACGACCTCGAACACACGCTAGGTGACATCGGCCAAGACAAGGCCCACTATCTAAATAGGTCATAACTAATCTCAGGCCCAAGGCCCAATGAAACCCTAATTCACACTAAGATACGTGCATTACTTATACGTGACTCATACATCCACAAGCACTAACTTTAGCATCAGAGTTTCTTTTGCAGGTACCGCCCCCACTTTGGAACAACAAGCGTACATAGCGAAGGAGGCTCACCAACCTTGCCCAGCAGATCGTCCCTACGACCGATCTCCGGTAAGAACATTTGGTGCCCACTGTGGGCCGATCAAGACATCTCTTATCGGCCACGCTTATAGTTTTCACCTAAAGCCATAGTAGACGAGCAACAGACGACCTAGATCGCGCAACAAGAATGGAAGGTGAAGCAACATTAAGAAGACTGATCGAACAGGTCGAGCAAATGCGGCAACAACATGCCGTCGACCTGGAGAACATCCATCACTACAAGAAAAATGCTGATTTCCGACGGAAATAGGTAAATTTTCGACGGATTTTGCTTTTTTCGACGGATTTCCGACGGATTTCAATCCGTCAGAAAAAGTGGCGTCGGAAAAAAAAATCCGTCGGAAATAATTTTTCCGACAGAATTTTCTGACAGAAAATTCTGTCGAAAAATTCCGTCAGAAATTTTTGACGGAAAAATCCGTCGGAAATTGCTGTCAAAATTTCTGACGGAAAAATCCATCGGAAATTACTGTCAAATTTTTCGACGGAAAAATCCGTCCTCTTGAAAACACCTAGAAGTGACCAAGTCAAGGTTGCTTCTAAAATTGGAGTGAAACACCTTGTGAGGCTGCATTTTGGTGTCTGGAATTGGAGCAAGAAGGAACCGAAATTAATTGTGAAATTTTTGTGAAAATTTAGAGACTAATTTTAGTGACGACAATTTTTGTTGCTAAAACTTGTTTTTCCTTACAAAATCCGTCTCTAAAATTTGTTTCTAATTTGTGGCTAATTTTTTTTCTTTGAAATTAAGTGCAGCCACTAATTTCATTTGAATGTGAATTTACATTTCATTTGGAGTGTGAATTTGCATTTCATTTGAAGAAAATTTGAATTTCAATTTTTCTTGTAATTTTTGTACAAGGCCTTTATTAAGGAGTGTCTTGGAGTGCCTTTGGTGTATCTCCATCTCTCCTTAAGAGTTCTCATAGTAAAT